GGTTTAAGATTATGATTGATATGCAAGATTTTGCTTCTGTCATATTGTTAATTCTTTTCTAGTTGTTTTATAAATTATTTGTTTCTTTCTTTGTCTATTAGTCTTTATGATTTGATTAAATTCTGCACTGTTGCCACTTGATTCCTTTCTCCTTCTCCTTTCTGTGATTCGTTACTATGCATTTTATAGTTTAACATGTTTTCATGATGGTGAATATTACATTTTCATCTCCAAGTTTAAGACTCCTTTGAGCATTTCTTGTAGAATGAGTCTTGTGGTGATAAAGTCCCTCAGCATTTACTTGTCTGGAAAATTGTTATTTCTCATTCATTTATGAAGCTTAATTTTGCTGTGTCCATAACTCTTATCTAGCAGTTTCTTCTTCCAGCACTTTGAGTATGTCATTCTTTTCTCTTCTGGCCTGTAAGGCTTGAGAAGTTCACTGTTAGTCTGATGGTGTTTCCTTTACAGGTGACTAGAGGCTTTTCTCTTGCTGATTTTAGAATTCTTTCTTTTACTTTGACTTTAGACAGTCTGATAATAATATGCCATGGTGAAGTACTTTTTACAATGTCTTTATCTAGGGATCACTTATATTACAGGATATCTGAATCTCTTGCTAGACTTAGAAAGTTTTATCAATTATTTTGTTAAATAGGTTTACTAAACGTTTTGATCTTTATTCCCTACCATGAATACCAATATTCTTGTTTGGTCATGTTATGCAGTTCCAAATGTCTTGAACTTTGTTCATTCTTTTAAAATCTTTTTTTTCTATAATTTGTCTGGGCAGATTATTTTAAAAGATCCATCTTCAATTCTGAGATTCTTTCTTCTTCTTGGTCTAGTCTATTGTTGAAGTTTTCAAAAGTATTTTGTAATTCCTTTAATTCCAGAATTTCTGACTGACTTTTAAAAATATATATATCTTGGTAAATTTCTCATTAATGTCCTGAATTTATTTTCTGCTTTAGTTTTATTTTTTTCAGGTTTCTCTTGCATCTCATTGAGCTTCTTTAAAATTAATAGTTTGAATTTTATACCTGAAATTTTGATTATTTCTTTTTGGTAAGGATCTATTACTCGAGAATTATTGCTTTCTTCTGAGGGTGTCATATTACTTTGCTTTATTGTTTCCTCTGTCTTTACATCGATTTCTGCACATCTGAAGCAACAGTAGCTTCTTCTTATTTTCTTTTGTTTGAGGGAAATTTTTCTTGAAGATGTGGCTATGATGTTGGTAGGGTAGGGCCATTTGGCTTTGCTTCTGGGTCCATGTAATGGTGAAGACTGTGTATGATTTCCTTGGCTATAAACAGCCTTAGTAGTATCTGTCTATTCCTCTGTGTGGTATTGTGAGGTTATTGGTAGAAACTGGTGAATTTGTGCTGGAGACTGGAATGCTTGATGGGTTCTTTTTCAAGTTTCAGTGGTAGTAAGGGTAAACTAAGCATGTGTATCCTTGGGATCTGGTACAGCATATAGTGGCAATTCTGTTGGTTCCAGACAGGGAAATTCTTATTCCTTTGGGTGGCTTTCTCAGATGTCAGTTGTAGTAGCAGCTACCAGATAGGTGAGTGGGCTTTTAAGCTCTTGGGCATCCATGACAGTGTGGGTAATGGCAGTAGCAGTTGTAGTGAGATGCTTTCCCAGTTCTCAACTGCTGTGCTTTTGTGTTGGGAGTGTTTGAAATTGGCTATGTGGGCCAGCCTCTAAGCCGGTAGATGGTGCTTGCAGGTACAAGCCAGCTGAGGTAGTAGCAGCAATATGTTTATGCTCAACCTCTGACCTGGATAAAGTGCTTTGGTTCCTCAGGCAGTGGGCTGGAGTGTGGAACCTCCGGAAGCCTCAATTTTGCACCCTGTCTTGGTAGATGGGGAAAAGCTGGCTGGAGCTGGACCAGGCAAACCTGTGCTCAGCTTCCCAAGCCCCAACGAATGGTGATAGCATACTCCAGCTATGACGGGGATGGTAGGAAAGTCCTCAGTTCCCTAGTGAAATGTTTGGGTTAGGGGTAACCCTAACCCTGTCAAAGTTGTGGGAAGCACGTTGAACCACTGGTTCTTGCAGTTGTAGCCTTGGCCAGTGAGTGTAGAACCCATATCTCCTCCACACCCCAGTCCAGGTGGGGCTCCCTGCCCTGTCCTGGCTCTCACAGCCCACACTGTAGTTCAGTCAGTGTAGATAGTTCACATCTAGCTTATAACTCAGCCCTGGGCCATGGAAGCACCCATCTAGCTCAGAACCTACCCTTTGCAGCAACTCTTGTCCTACTCAGGACCCAGGGAGGTTGTCTGGCTCCAGCACTGGCAGCTGAAGCCCTCTTTAGGCTGGCTTTTCAGTCCTGGTTGCAGGGGCCCAAGTTTCCCTAATGTTCAGGACTAGGGCCCCTCTTCCCTGGAGCATACCCAGATTGTTAAAAACTAGGATTGATAATAACATTTTATTGTAGCCACTTAAGTCTTAAGGAGAACATAGGACACAGAATATGCAACCTCCCTGGAGCAGTTCCTTTTCATAGTCTCCTGGCCATCTTCCAACTTAGATTCAGGGCTTGGGAGGATCAAGGTGCACTCCCATGGACTACATTGTATGATTTCCCCAGTGATAAGATAGACCACAGAAAGACATTTTCTTACACTCTTCTATACTGGGGATTTACTTCCAGATTCTGGCTGGTGTCAACCACACAAGCTGACTATCCTCCTTCACCTCTCCTAATTTTTGAGTTTCTCCTTGCATTTCCACTGAACTCTCATGCACTCTCTTGAATAATTCACTCAAAATGTGTCTTCCTACACACTATGCTGATTCCTTCAAGTGGATGAGGCATGTGTGAAATACTTCTAGGCAGCTATCTCAGAAAAAATAAACCACTTTAATGCTCATATTCCGTATGTCTCCATTGCTAGTTCCCATCATGCCTTATCAGTGCTCTCTTTACTACTGGAAATAATCATTTACACCTTTAAATGTAATCAGATTAGAGAAACAACTTCAGAAACTCCAGAACCAATCCAGAAAACTCACCCTTAAAATTATGTTTTCTAGTACCACACTCAATATCAAAATTTTTCTTAATATACTTGAGCTGTGTACTAGTCCATTTTCACCCTGCTAATAAAGACATTATAATAATATAATAAATATCACAATACTGTAATAAAGACAGGGAAGATAAATAGGTTTAATGGACTTATAGCTGCACATGACTGGAGAGGCCTCACAATCATGGTGGAAGGTGAAAGGCACTTCTCACATGGCAGTGGCAAGACAGAATGAGAACCAAGCAAAAGGGGAAACCTCTAATTAAACCATCAGATCAAATACAGTCATTACAAATGGGAGAAATTGGCCAAACAAAGGGGCTACCAGCCCTATGCAAGACCAAAATCCAGTGGAGCAGTCAAATTGTAAAACTCCAAAATGATCTCCTTTGACTCCAGATCTGATGCAAGCAGTGGGTTCCCATGGTCTTGGGAAGCTTCCCACCGTGGCTTTGCAGGGTACATTCTCCTTCCCAACTGCCTTCACAGGCTGTCGTTGAATATCTGTGGCTTCCCAGGAGCATGGTACAAGCTGTCAGTGGATTTATCATTCTGGGGTCTAGAGGATGGTGGCTCTCTTCTCACAGCTCCACTAGGCAGTGCCCTAGTAGGGACTCTGTGTGGGGGCTCTGACCCCACATTTCCCTTCCACACTGCCTGAGTGGAGGTTCTCCATGAAGGCCCCACCCCTGCAGCAAACTTCTGCCTAGGCATCCAGGTGTTTCAATACATCTTTTGAAATCTAGGCAGAGGTTACAAAACCCCAGTTCTTGACTTACGTGCACTCACAGGCTCAATACCATGTAGAAGCTGCCAAGGCTTGGGGATTGCACCTTCTGAAGCTATGGCCTGAGCTGTACCTTGGTCCCTTTTAGTCATGACTGGAGAGGCTGGGATGCAGGGCACAAAGTCCTTAGACTGCACTCAGCACAGGGACCAGAGGCCTAGCCCTCTTAACCATTTTTCCATCCTGGGCCTCCAGGCCTGTGATGGGAGTGCTGCCATGAAGACTTCTGACATGCCCTGGAGAAATTTCTTCCATTGCCTTGGGGATTAATATTCAGCCCCTTGTTACTTATGCAGATTTCTGCAGCAGGCTTGAATTTCTCCTCAGAAAATGGGATTTTATTTTTATCACATTGTCAGGCTGTAAATTTTCAGAATGTTTATGCTCTGCTTCCCTTATAAAACCCAATGTTTTTAACAGCACCCACCTCACCTCTTGAATGCTTTGCTGCTTAGAAATTTCTTCTGCCGGATAACCTAAATCATATCTCTCAAGTTCAAAGTTTCACAAATCTCTAGGGCAGGGGCAAAATTCTGCCAGCCTCTTTGCTAAAACACAACAGGAATCCTCTTTGCTCCAGTTTCCAACAAGTTCCTCATTTCCATCTGAGACCACCTTAGCCTGGACTTTATTGTTCATGTCACTATCAGCATTTTTGTCAAAGCCATTCAACAGGTCTCTAGGGAGTTTCCAACTTTCCCACATTTTCCTGCCTTTTCTGAGCCCTCCAGACTGTTCCAACCTCTGCCTGTTACCCAGTTTTGAAGTCACTTCCACTTTTGGGTATTTTTTCACCAGCGCCCTACCCTACTTGTACCAATTTACTGTATTAGTCCTTTTTCATGTTGCTGATAAAGACATACCCAAGCTAAGAAGAAAAATAGGTTTAATGAACTTACAGTTGCAATTGACTGGGGAGGCCTCACAATTGTGGTGGAAAGAGAAATGCACTTCTTACATGATTGTGGCAAGAGAGAATGAAAGCCAAGCAAAAGAGGAAATCCTTGTCAAACCATCAGCTATCAAGAACAGTATGGGGAAAACTGCCCCCATAATTCAATTATCTCCTACCCGGTCCCTCCCACAACACATAGGAATTATGGGAGTACAATTCAAGATGAGATTTGGGTGGGGACACAGAGCCAAACCATATCAGGGTGCTATAACAAAATACCACAGACTGAGTCACTTAAACAACAGAATATATTTTCTCACAGTTTTGGAGACTGAAAGTTTAAAATTAGCATGCCAGCATGTTTGGAGGATTCTCTTTCTGTCTTGCAGATGGCTTCTTTCTTGCTATATACTCACATAACCTTTTCTCATTGTGAATGTGTGAAGAGAGAGACAGAGGTATCTTTTTTTTTCTTACAAGATTACTATCCTATCAGATTAAGACTTCACCTTTATGACATCATTTAACCTTAAGTACCTCAAAAAGTTTCCAAATATCATTACATTGGGGTTTGAGGATTGAATATATGAATTTTGGGTGTGAAGGAAGGTTGTAATTCAGTCCATAAGAATAGATAACAGCATATACAATGAGGCATAGTTTTGCTTTTTTCTAGGAGATAGAAAAAGTGTCATTTCAAATCTGTTATTCACAAATGTTTCAAGCTGTTAGGACATCACAAATAGTTGGAGTAGAAGATTTTTTTTGTAATTTTTTGGTAATCACTTCCATGTACATTTTTGTTATATGAATGTAAATAGGTGAAGGAAGGCTATAGCTGGAAATATCAGGGCTTCACAACAGTTTGATGGTTCCAATTTTTCAGGCAAATGGGTTTGTGCCAACTGTATTCTGTACACATCGGTGTATTGAGCTTAGGTTTCCTTTTGGAGAGGAAAGGAATCAAGAATGAGATGCCTTTTTTAAAAGAAGTTCAAAGTTATTTCAGTATATCTTATGCACTAACATGGCCTCTACTGATGTCATGGAGAAGCAACAACAGCTCAACTACCCACTTCCTCTCCCAATCAGGGATACTCCTTTTTACTGAGAAAAAGTTTGAAATGTGACTCCGGCTGCACTGGAGATGTTTACTTAAGGAAAGAGAAGACTGGTTCCTTGTATGGAATGTTCCACTAGCTGGGTTTCTGCTGATTGCTCCTGGCTCCATGGAGGTGGCAAAACAGAAATATGTGTTTGGGCCCAGGTCTACTTTGACACACATCAGATATCGGTGAGTGTAGCACTGGAGAAAGGAAGAGCCTTCCTTTTTCCCCCTCTTATATCCTTATCAGGTGGCTTGTGCATAGATCACTTCAAAACTACTTAAGTGGACAGAAGTCTGCATGAGACTATTCAGACATCTGTTCTCATGCAGACCAACTGATAAATAACGTAGCAACAACAGCTGCAGAGAATGGGCTAGCAGACTTATCAGATTTTCCAGTATTTTCTTTCACTGGAAAATTATAACCAGGTGTGATCTCTTAGATTGCTTAAAGCTCTCGGGATTTGGGGCTTATAGGAAAGCAGGACAAAGTGAGTAAAGAAAGAAAAATGTCTAGTACACCAGATGGGAGTTTAGGGTCAAAATATTTTAAACATTTAAATAAAGGTATGACACAGTGATAAAGAACATATCTGATAGATAATAAACAAAAAAGAGAAAGAAATATGAATACAGACATATAGATAAAAATAAAGTTTATCCATTTATATGTACTGTGTGTGTGTGTATATATATATAATAATTTTACTCCATGCTATTAGTGGTGATTATAGCTATTTTTTGTCTGTATAGTTAAATTTTTCAAGAATAAGTATTGATTCTATAATAAGAAATATATATCAATTATTTTTAAATTTAGATAGAATTATCTTATTCCAAAAAAGTGTTCAAAAAGAAAGAATTTATTTTTGAAAGTGCTAACCCTTTGTAGGTATTTGTATGGAGTGAGCTAACTAATCTCTGGGCCACTGGTCTTCTGCAGGTGAAATAATTATTTTTAGTGATAATTTATGAATTTCTGTTATTTTGTATAAATTATCACTGCTGTTATAGTTTATGTAATAATTAACAAAATAAGTGTTCTATTATCCTTATGGCCTCAACCCTTAATGCTTTCTTGCCTGAGACATCTCATTTGTTAACTCAACTTGTCAAGTTTGGAGTTTTCTCTTGTTGATATGTGAGGACATCAGACAGTTTCCCAGCCTCAGATTCCTGTGGGGGAACAAAAGAAAGAAAAAAAGTCAAAACAGAATTTGCTTACTTTCAGATTTTCTTCTGATTTTGATGCATGCCTCAAAGAATCAGAAAAAAAAGTATATTTTATAAAATAATCTATTTAGTAGATCTGATTTAGGGCTATAAAATGTGGAAATAATTAATATTTACTTTTCCATAATAATAATACACATTACTTCTGCAAGATGCAAGAGATAAGTTTCTCTGGTAACCCTATATAATCTCATTTCAAAGAGCTAAAGTTCATATCAACATGCTTGTTCCTTAAAGGAAACACTTAAGATATCTGCCTTGCTTTGTGTACAGGGTAGAGGGGGCAGCAGGGGAGAGTGGTGACTTTACGTAGTTCCATACAGTATGGAGTACAAGGAAAGGGCAGTGAAGAACAAGGGAGAAAGCCTCATCCATCTGCCTCCTATCTTTTCCTTCATAAGTGAAATATACCTACCGCCTTCCCAGAAGCACTTGTATTACTGAGGTTATGGATGATGAAGTACTAACTTTAAGGTGAAGGTTGAAGGAGTGTGTAAGACTGTCTGAAATATCTGCTTAGTGGCCTAGGGTTTATATTTAAAGTACTAAATCGCATAATTGATACTACCCGATTCCTCTGTCAGAGCCAAATTTAAAGATTAGTCAGGACTCATCTGTGCTTCAGTTTCCTTATTTGTAAAATAATAATCACTGAGTAATTTTTAGAATAAAATGGAACAATGCATATATAATATTTCTTAGCACATAATGCTCATCTAATAATACCTGTTGTTGTTGTTATATGCTTCCCAGGCATTGTGTTCGGTGAGTTGAGAAAAGGTGGGGCCATGAAAAGGAAAGGATATTGCATAATACCTTGAAAAGTGGCCAAATGAGAAGAAAAACATTTTCATTTGTTATCTGAGAAGCTTACCCGAAATTTACATTTTCAAAGAGAAAAGCGGACAAGTACACCTTTGTACATACATTCCTAAAGCAAGAGTTCACACATTCTTGTACCATCCTCTCAACTGGCATTTCTTCTTAGTCCCAAGAAAAACCACTTGGAGGCTACTACTCAGGGTTCAACATTGGGCTTCTATAAAAGCAGAAGTCAGGCTTAACATCCCAATAACTAGAGAAGTAATTCTGTTCATTAAGGGAAATTCTAGGGGTGTAGTGTTATAATTAGTATAATTATTATTATTATGGTAGAGGAAATAGCATGAGCTGAATGTTGAAAGTTGAGCAGGTTTTCATCAGTTGAATGTGAAGCCCTGAGGAGGTGAGAATTATTGGAGGGGTGTTTAGGAAGACAGAGCTGTGTGAACAACAGCAGAGAGGCATGAAAGGGCATTAGGCTTTAAAAAGCATTAAGTCACTTTTTGGTGCTTAAACATAGGGTTTGAAGAAGGGTGACAGAGAGAAAAAGTCCAGAAAGACTAGGAAGAGTCACATCTCACAAGGTCTTCCAGACTCAAGGAAAGTTGGATTTTGCTTTCATAGCTAATGGGAAATTATGGCAGAATACTCAAGAGAGGAAGACTTGAACAGTATGGCAAGAAGCCAAGTGAGTAATAATCAGAGCTGAAACTAAGGAGTATCAGTAGAGATAAAATGGAGGATACAAATACAAGTGAAGGTAAGAATATATACTTAGAAGTAGTTTAAAAAATTTTTAAAAAGCACAGATTTCTTCCAATTAAAAATTTTATTTATATGAGATGTTTTACAAAATTATTTAAAACATGACATCATAGTTGGTTATACATTTAGTTATTTGTTTTTACTGAAAATAAAAGGATTACATGAAATTAGGACTTTTTCAGAAAGTGGTATGACAGGATTCTTCTGTCTATAATCCTGGAACCTGGCAGAGATGCTGAGCCCCCAAAACATCAGTTCCAACTCAGAGATCAGTATTTAGACCTACCTCAGAGGAAGGTCCTAGATAACCTGTTATTATAGAGGGCTGGTACAGAATGAAGTCTCAAATTTCTAAAATTAATATTCATACTTTAGTGTAAGTAAACTTTAGGTAACTCAGTTTTAGGCACTCCTCTAATTTAGGAGCTTTAATAGTGTTGAGAAGGAGATATCTAGACCTGCAATTGGTTTAAAACAACTCTACACAATCATACAGATTCTGAAACAAATAGTGTTTACAGATATAGGGTAAAATTACCCCCATGGTGTATATTTTCAAAGTCACATTGCACTGCCCTGACAGGTTCCTTTCTTGGTACCAAACATGTAATTGACTGGGTCTCTTCACCCCCCACCCAGACCCCATGTAGCAAAATTCCATTCTGGATACCATTTCCTATGCCAGTTAAGGGTTTGTTACAAGTTAAAGAGTTTTTTTTTAAAGCCACCCAGATATTTTAGGAAACAACCCAGAACGAAAGCATTAATAATAAAAATCAAATCAGTGTCCTGTATATCAAAGCACCACATCTAAAAAGTCAAGGATGTAAAAAGTAACCTTTACATTTTATAACAATACACAGTGTTTATTGATTTCAAAAAAGTATCAGAGAAAATAGCAACCTTTAAACATTCATTAAAATGAATAGAAAGATTTTTTTTTAGAAAAAGTGCTTATTCAGAGTTTAGTGAACACACAAATATCATTGATTGCAATTCTATGTTACAGTACATTTTACTTTCTATAACTGTAAAAATAAGCTAAAACATAGGAGTATGATTTAATCTATATTTCTAGCCCTACTCAATATGTAATTATAGATTAGCTATAAATTTCCACTCAAGTGAAATGCAAGAGGAATATAATTTATAGCCTTTTTAAAGAAGTATATGCCTAAAGCCTGAATAATCCAGTATTAATCTATTATAATATACTCAACTTAGAAGTACTCATCTCTCTTACAATGTTGTCTTGTAAATGATGCAATGAGTTGAAAGACTGGTCCTGGTTCAAGAGGAAATCCTGATAAAAATGGATATAAAACCCCACTAAGAAACACAAGCATGTTTCAAAGAGAACTCTGAAACCCCAAATCATTATTCACAATCTATCATTAATTACTATTTGAGATATATCACCAGTTACTTCTAGGTTGTAAATATGTCTCACCAATGACAATCTTGTATAAACATATCAGAAAAACAATGGGCAACTCCTGAAAGTCACTGGACGATAAAACATAGTTACATTTGGTTTCAGAAGATTCAGAAAAGATTAGATTAGGGGAAAATGTATTATTTAATTAAAACCACTTAAAATAATTCTGGCGGGCCTCAAAGCAAGTAGCCATGTTGGTTACATGCATTTTGCTCTCAGGTTTAAGACACAAAGGTCTCCATTTCTCTAAGAGAACTGCTTTTCCGGCAAGACATACTCTCTCTTTTCCCTTGGAGCCAAGTAATTGGAGCCCTAAACACACTGCGGAGCTTCTGTTGGAACCGGTTTCCAACAAAACAATAGAGAAATGGATTAACGCAGCTGTTGGTGAATCCCAGGAGGATGGCAAAAGGAAGTGCCAGGTCAATGACTGCTATAACTTCACAGCTATTAATGACACCCATCCAGGCCAGAGCATCCAGGAAGGTCAGAACATGGAAGGGAAGCCAGCAAATGATGAAGGCCAGAACAACAGCAGCTGCCATCTTCAGGACTTGGTCTCGGGTTATCCTGTTCTTCCCATAGCTATTCGTCTTCAGTAAGTGTTTTCTAATTCCAAAATAGCATGTTGCTATGAATATTAAAGGGATAATAAAACCAAGGATATTTTTCATTAAGGCAATCCCAGCTGACCATTGGGCATATTTCTCAGGTGGGAAAGCCATAATGCAAGCATTCACTCCTAAGTATTCAATGGTTCTGACATCTCGAAAATAAAATGTTGGCAATGAGGACAAACAGGCCATACACCAAACAAGGGGAACTATATAAGACGCTTGCCAGGGATTTCTTCTTTGAGACAGAAAGGGGTAGATAACGGATTGGTACCTATCAACACTCATACAGGTGATAAAAAAAATGCTTGCAAACATGTTCAGAGTAAGAAAAGAACCAAAAACTTTGCACATCACAGGTCCGAAGAGCCAGTCATATCTATAAGAATAATAGGTTGCCCAGAGAGGAAGAGTAGCCAAAAGGAGTAAGTCAGCCACAGCAAGGTTGAAGATGTAAATGCTAGAAACCTTTTTAGGACCCTTTTGACAACAAAACAGTGTAACCACAACAATATTGACCAGAAATCCAATTACAAATATAATGTAGTAGAGAATAGGAATTGCATCTAAATGCTTATCTGATGGTTTCTGTGAACAGTTCAAGGTAGACTCATTGTTGCCAGAGATGGTCACAAGCCCGAAGTGAAGACTGCTAGTAATGCTTTTGCTAGTAGTGGCAAGGGTGGAGTTGCCCTTCATATTGAAATGTCAGCAGCTCCTAGTTCTTATGCCTTCTGTGGAGGAAAAAAAATAGAACTCTTAGAACACATACAGAGCTGAGGACATCCTTGAATCCTTAGCATTTTGAAAGTTTGTCAAAAGCAAAAAGAAGTGAGTGATTATAGAAAACATTATGAAACAGAGCTATGCCTTGTAAAATAAGAATGGTTTTTACCGCTTGAAAAAGGAGAAAAACTTTTCTTAATAGTAGAAAAAAGTAAATCATTTCAGAGATTGAAAGTTCTGAACAAAACTACCTTTTGCCCATCTTTTCTATGATGTTTTTGAAAGGTTTAAAGAAAATTAATATTTCAAAAGATTAGTCAGGGCAGGAAATATGTGAAACAAATAAGAAACCTAGAGGTAAGAAAAGTTAATCTTTCAAAAAACACTTGAGCATATATCTCTGTTTGTATACTTTCTAGAAACTACACTGCTGCCTGCTATTGCATAGAGAAATGCTCTATTTAAGTAACTAATTACATACAAATCACTACAACTATGGAAAACATAAGTAACGTAAGCAAAGGAAAACATAAGTATATAAAAAACTAAAAGAGAATATGCCAAAGGAACATATTGTGATGAGGAATCATGGTTTTTCTTTAATAATTAAAAATAATTCCTTTAGTTTTACTTTTCTATTGTTTTCACAATAATAAAATAGTTAAGAAGTTATGAAATATATTTCTATTTCTAAGTCTTCTCCTTTTAATAGAGAATATTAGTTTTAGACATAGGTATCTAATTTTGGTCTATTTCATATATAAACAATCCATTTTCAATTAAAGCAGATAAAGAAAAAAACAGTCAAACCTATTTTAGGTTCAAGTAGAAGTAATTTATATTGCTCAATGAAATGAGAATTGAACATCAATGATTAATCATGATATAGTCTTATCATTTTTCTTTTGCTCTCTTCTCAGTTTAACAAAACTGAATAGCCGTGGCTCTCAAATGTTGCAGTGTTCAGGTTCTTGTGATTTTTTTCACTAGCAACATTATTTTAAAAGCAAAAAAACACACATTAGCTAAAGGTAAGCATACTAAGGAAACACTATTTACTTTAGATAGTTTCAAAATACATGCAAATAAACTACCCAATTAAAAGTATAATCTCCAAAGAACCTCCTAATAAAGAGCAAAACTTTTATTTTGGACTAAAGCTTCTTCTTTTGACCTAACAAATTAACATAAAAGAATCAATAATAAATTCCACTTGAAGACTTACTGGTTGTTGAAGTTTAAAGCAGTAATCATAAATCAGCTTGCTTAGTGCCTAAACACACTCCTGTAAGAGAAACAGCAGCTAAATAATTCAGGAGTTTTACAAAATACAGTGTTAAAACACAGGAAAAACAGAAGTTCATCCATAAAAAATGCTTTCATTTAATGTATGTTCTACTTTCCAAGTAAATTATATACAAATTGTTCATACTTACCTTAAAAATTAAGGCTGCAGAATGCTTTGAATTCTGTGCTTACTCGTTCTCTCAGACGCTGGGACGTAATAGCACCAGATCTCTGGTTTCCTTCTTATATGTTTGGTCTGTCCACTGGGAGCCTTCAACCTACATAATTCTAGGGCTGACTTATGAACACTTGCCAGCTTTCCAGAGAGGTTTTTTTTTTTTGTCTGCAAAACATTAATCTGAAATTCTCACTGTCTCCAATCATAACAGCTCACTGAAATAAATCTCAAACAAAAAAATGAAGTTTCCACAAATGTGTTAGATAATTTTGAAGTCAGTGGCTTACTTTAAGAGAAGAACATAATAATTATTTATAGAATTTTCTCTTTCTTTTTTCCTAATATTGACATTCTAATAGAAATTAATGAGTAGAGACTAGGAAATTTATTATAGTAGCAAAGTCTTTGTTCATCATCTTTTACAACCTTCATTACTTTCTGAAAATTTTATCCATGTTTATTAAAGAATGGTAGCAATTTTACTTGAAGTCTACAACTTCTAAAATTTCTCCTTTGCTTTATGCGGTTTTTGTTGGCTTCTTGCTGGAGGGTTGGAGATTGCAGGAATATAATTTTTACGTGATGGAGAAGAGGTTTGGTCCTCCTTGCATAGGTCTCTGTCATATTTGTAGTTTAAATACAAAGCACAAAAAGTGAAGAAGGATTAGGTGACTATTTCAACATAGATCACTGTTGCTGCTGTTTCTTGTGGCAGTGGGGGCAATAAACTACACAACCAATCCGACAGAAGCAAAAGTGACAAAATGAAGAAAGATAAGAACAGGTGATGGTAGTGATAATACTAGCTGACAATACATGTTATGTGCCAAACACTGTGATGAGTTATTTATCATCAATAATTTAATAGAGAGGCAGTATAACACACTGGTTAGTAAATAGCCTCTGGGATCCAACTACCTGGCTTTACAAACCCAGCTCTACCACTTACTAATTCTGACCTTGGCCAAGTTACTTTATTTCTCCATGTCTCAGTTTCTCATCTGAGAAATGAGAATGATATAAATTACCTACATCATAGAGTAGGAATTTTAAATAAGCTAATGGAAAATTAAATGAGCTAATATGTTTAAAGTGCCTAAAATCATGCCTAGCATATGGTAGGTGCTATTACAAGCTATTCATTGTAGCCCCCACTTTACAAATCAGGAAACTAGGACTCATAGAGTTTAATAACTTTTCTGAGATCATACAGCTATTAAATGAAGACACTTGCATTTAAATCAAAAGAAACTAATATCAGAACTCATTCTGTTTAGCCTCTATACCACAAGAGGAAGCACTAGATGGTCCCTTAATCTCACTCTTTGTCTTGGCAAAAAAGGAAACGTAGCATTTACAGAAAATCACTGATGACCATTCATAATCTATCACAAAATCATCAAAGAAGGGGAAAAGAATTGGAAGAACTGTTATGTGGGGAAAAGTATTTTTCTTAATTGTATTGCCCAATTGGAGACCATAGGAAGGAGAAACTTGTGACTAGATAGCTTTCTGTAGTTAGTACAGAAAACCAGAGAACCTAGAACACATTTTAAATGGGCAAAAAGATTCAAGTTATTCCTGTGGATCGTATTTTTCAGATAAGCAGTAAGGGCACGCCTGTCCATGCTGCAGGCCACAGGTAAAGGATGAGGGCAGGCTCTGAGGAAGTAGCTGGGCACCTAAATATGGAGTTCAGCAGAACAAGGAAGGAGAAGTCAGTGTTGATGACAGAAAACAAAATTGCAAATGGCATGAGACAAAGCACATGACTTTTGATATTTGTCTGTTTCTCCATTAATATTGAAGTCAATACTGTAGCACACAGGCAGATGAGATCAGTGAGAAGCCATCGTTGTGTGAAAAATACAGTAGGATTCAAAGGTTTCATAGACCATCTTAAAGTTCCTTTTGGTGAACAGTTTGAACATAGTCAAAATTCCCCTAATAAATGTATGCACCATTTTACTAAATCTCAAAATATTTGTGTCCTATGCTCTGGACAGATTCGGTTGAGGCTGAGGCTCTGTTAAAATGATAGAAAACTTATGTTTTGGAAACAAATGAGGGGGCACATATGTTTATCAGCAGGAAAGCTGACATGGAAACTGTTTTCTCTCATTGTTTAAACCTGGTTTCTCCCTCCATTTCAAATGTTTGTTTTTGCCACCTAAAGGGGAATTTTCCAGGCCAGGGCCTCCCAAGTGGTCACAATGGGTCAGATTCTCACCCTGCTCTTTTTCTTGTCCCCTCTTATGCCCCTTGCAAAGAAACAGCCAGGAGGTGAGCTATAAAATTATGAGAACAAACTACAGGCTTGTCTCCAGAAGACGTAGCCTTGAACACCCACAAGGAACAGGGGATCTTGTCTAGAGCTTTTGTCCTTCATTAGAGTAAGTTCTGACGTAAATAAAGTTTAAAGAGGTACATATTTCCCAGAAGATTAAAGGGCCATTTACTCTGCGTCTTCATACTCTTAGGAGTAAATTTTTTCACAAGTCAAAGAAAAATTTTGTAACTGTAGAGAATTAACAAAAAAAGTTTATAAAAGGAATAGCAATAATATTGACACCACTTGAAGAAAGAAATACTGTATATTATTGATTCAGCAAAGAACTCCCAGTTAAACCAACAATGTAAATACGCTTGAGAGTCAAATAAATGTCAGTCCTGGGAAGCAGTACAACACAAAAAGTTCATTCTCCTGGGAGTAGGGAATACTTTTTCTGCTGGTAGACTTACTTAAAAAAGTTTCAGGTCATTTGAATAAATTATGCAGCTCTGCAGGACAAGGGTAGCTGAGCTAGCAGAATTAAATAGTAAATCACATTAAATTAATTTTTTTCTAATGAATACCTGTTGTTTATTGTGAGATTACTTAACAGTAAACTTGAAAGGACTAAGCTAAAAAAGTAAATGTTCTTGGGAGGAATTCTTCCTCTGCTAGAAGGTTACAGAGTTCAGAACAAATTTTATTTGCCCCCTCACCTCCACCCACACACACAGATGAAACTTCAAAGGAGAAAAGAAATACATAAATGCAAAAATTAGCAAAAATTCTAGACATAGGTGCCCTGGTTATAGAGGTAAAGATTAGAGGTACAGATTATGGAATGATTTTAATACATATGGGTCTTCCTTTTTAATCTAGGTCTTTCAGAGTCAATTTAACTTTCCCCAACCACAGCCACCACACTGAGTGCCAATATCATTACCACTTCTCTCAACTTCAACACACACACGCATCACTCACACCCATAGACCCACACACGTACTTTATACCAACCTTTCTTTAATTCACTTACCCATTGAGTAGCCATGCTTTAATTGTCACTGGACTTTTCCTAACCTGGGGGCCTATAAAAGGAGGGTAGTTAAGAAGATTGCCCATTATTGATGAATCTTTGCATATTATTTTTGTGCCTCTCGGTGAAATGTCACAATGAAAGCAAATGGAAAAAAATAAGGCCTTTTATTCAGAAATAACAATCAGATTGGCCATTTTTAGAAACCAGCTTAAAATTCAGTGAAATGCCCAACATGAGTGATTATTTGCATTCCACTACCTCTTTGTCTACGTATCACATGAAAAGTGACAGAGAGGAATGCTAAGTAAGTTAAGGTGGAACGGATGTAGTGAGATGAATGGATGTCAGACTCAGTACATTTTTTTTAAATTTTTTATTATTATTTATTTTTTATTATACTTTAAGTTCTAGGGTACATGTGCACAACGTGCAGATTTGTTACATATGTATACATGTGCCATGTTGGTGTGCCTAATGTAACTCGTCATTTACATTAGGTATATCTCCTAATGCTATACCTCCCCCTATCCCCTTCCCCCAATAGGCCCTGGTGTGTGATGTTCCTTTTCCTGTGTCCAAGTGACCTCATTGTTCATTTCCCACCTATGAGTGAGAACATGTGGTGTTTGGTTTTCTGTTCTTGTGATAGTTTGCTGAGAATGATGGTTTCCAGCTGCATCCATGTCCCTACA